TTCTGCGCAACGCGCGGGTATTCGCCTGGTTCCATAATACATTATTGTTTTTTTGTCACATGTCAATATCTTATGATGTCATTTTGTGGTATTTTTGAATGAATGTTTTTTCCATTTGTTATTTTCTTATTTTTTTTTATCTTTATTAATTAAAACATCATATTTAACTTTAATTAATAATTGTCTTAATTGAAAATAATCAATAAATTATAATATTACAACTCATATAGTATTTAATATGTTTCATTTTAAATTTCAAATTTAAATAAACTTTTGTTAAACCTTTATATTAATTTTTTTTTTTGTTTTATCCAACCCGTATAACATATGGGTCTCACAACTAGTATATATATATATATATATATATATATATATATATATATATATATATATATATATATATATAGAGAGAGAGAGAGAGAGAGAGGTAAGTTCATTTATAAAATAAAGAAAGTTGAGAATAGATGAATCATTCTCAGTCAATCATTTATTTTTGTCGGAAAATACTTTGGTGTACCTGACGACGGAAGATGAATAATATTCATATACGGATATAAATACAAGTGTATTCATATCTGAATGCACCACTTTCCATCTGCCACCAACCACCACCACCACCTCCACCTCCACCACTACCACAACCAACCACCACCAACCACCTCCACCACCCACCGTCGCCATATTGATATATGGATAACCGGTTGTGCTATACTTATTTATATATAAATACATGTATTCATATATAAATACACTTATTCATATATGAATATACATCTCCATATACATAATCATATATCAATATGACTTGTTCCGTCGGTCCGGTACGTTGGAACGCTTAAGCGGAAGATTCAAAATAAATGACTTAGATTCATTCCCTCATTATCAACCTTTTTTTCTCAATTGGACCCTCCCCTATATATATATATATATATATATATATATATATATATATATATATATATATATATATATAAATATATATATATATATATATATATAAATATATATATATATATATATATATATATATATATATATATATATATATAAAAGTTCAATTGAGAACCATTATAAATGGTTCTCTAAAAACCAAATACATTTTCGAGTTTTAAAGCTTATTGTTTATTGAAAAAAAAAACAAAAAATATCTAAATTTATAACTTCATATTGTCAATGCTAATATTTTTCGGATTCACGTGTGAATTCAGATTCACATTGTGAATATGCACAAATTTACACTGTGAATTTGACGGAAAAAGTAAGTTTTTTATCGAATTTGATTTCATTGGGAAATTGATAAAAAGTTACGAATTTCTGTATTTTTAGTTTTTTTATTGATAAAAAATAAAGTCTAAAAGTTGAAAAAAAAAAAGATTTGTTATGTGGTTAATAATGGTTCTCTATTGAACCTCACCCAATATATATATATATATATATATATATATATATATATATATATATATATATATATATATATATATATATATATATATATATATATATATGTAGATAGATAGATGGATAGATAGATCTTGGATTTTAAAATGTTGGGGGTACAATGTAAGGATTGTTTTTGTTGTAATTAGTCGAAGTATGCTTTGTACTCTTCGTATATTGTATAATCTATTTTACTAGGGCGCTTTTATACGAAGCTTAAGTGTTTATGCCTTCGTATATTTTTTGTACGCTTTATGTGTCCTATAAATAGGATCATTTACTAGAGTTAAATAGAGTCTTTACAGTCTGTTCTATTGTTCTCTGTTAACACAAAGCGTAATAGAGCTGAAGCAAAATATTATTTACTTCCTGTGTTCAATCTCTCATACTTTCTTCAATATCAACTCTCATTAATATCTTACTCGATTAATTGATTCATCAATTGGTATCAGAGCAAGAATCATATATGTGATCTGATTTTTATTTGTTCAAAAAGTTTTTGAAGCAACTTTTTGGTTCAAAAGTTTCCGTGCTTTTTGAAAGTGAAAAATTCTCTTAAATCTAAGATTGTGATTCGATTCTGCATTTGAATTGTTGAATCGAGTGCTCTACTGGATTTTGTGAATCATTTCAGATAATTGCTTTCAAATTCTCGTTGTTATTTTAAAAATATCTAAAACCTTCATCTGTTCATCAATGGCGAACTTCAATCTCAATTCAATGACTTCGTTTTCTCATCTGCTAGGATCATCAACTAAATTTCCAATGTTAATTCCTGAATATTATGATCATAGGGTTGATCGTATGCACGATTATCTGAATGGGCTTGATGAAGAATTGTGGAATTGCATCAGTGGAACAGTTCAACCTCCATTGAATGTTCAAAACATAGGCTCATTTGGAACTACTTCTGTTGTTGAAGATCAACAAACAAGACTGAAGAACAACGAAAAGCGATGCATGAGATAGTTGATATGGATAACCGGTTGTGCTATACTTATTTATATATGAATACACGTATTCATATACAAATACACTTATTCATATATGAATATACATCTTCATATACATATTCATATATGAATATGACTTGTTACGTCGGTCCGGTACGTTGGAACGCTTAAGCGGAAGATTCAAAATAAATGGCTTACATTAATTCCTTCGTTATCAACCTTTTTTTTCTCAATTGGACCCTCCCCTATATATATATATATATATATATATATATATATATATATATATATATATATATATATATATATATATATATATATATATAAGTTCAATAGAGAACCATTATAAATGGTTCTCTAAAAACCAAATACATTTTCAAGTTTTAAAGCTTATTGTTTATTGAAAAAAAAAAACAAAAAAATATCTAAATTCATAACTTCATATTGTCAATGCTAATATTTTTCGGATTCACGTGTGAATTCAGATTCACATTGTGAATCTGCACAAATTTACACTGTGAATTTGACGGAAAAAGTAATTTTTTTATCGAATTTGATTTCATTGGAAAATTGATAAAAAGTTATGAATTTCTGTATTTTTAGTTTTTTTATTGATAAAAAATAAAGTTGAAAAGTTGAAAAAAAAAGACTTGTTATATGGTTAATAATGGTTCTCTATTGAACCTCACCCAATATATATATATATATATATATATATATATATATATATATATATATATATAGATGGATAGATAGATTTTGGATTTTAAGATGTTGGGGGTACAATGTAAGGATTGTTTTTGTTGTAATTAGTCGAAGTATGTTTTGTACTCTTCGTATATTGTGTAATCTATTTTACTAGGCCGCTTTTATACGAAGCTTAAGTGTTTATGCCTTAGTATATTTTTTGTACGATTTATGTGTCCTATAAATAGGATCATTTACTAGAGTTAGATAGAGTTTTTACACTCTGTTCTATTGTTCTCTGTAAACACAAAGCGTAATAGAGCTGAAGCAAAATCTTATTTACTTCCTGTGTTCAATCTCTCATACTTTCTTCAATATCAACTCTGATTAATATCTTACTCGATTAATTGATTCATCAATTGGTATCAGAGCAAAAATCATATGTGATCTGATTTTTATTTGTTCAAAAAGTTTTTGAATCAACTTTTTGGTTCAAAAGTTTCCGCGCTTTTTGAAAGTGAAAAATTCTCTTACATCTAAGATTGTGATTCGATTCTGCATTTGAATTGTTGAATCGAGTGCTCTACTGGATTTTGTGAATCATTTCAGATAATTGTTTTCAAATTCTCGTTGTTATTTCAAAAATATCTAAAAACTTCATCTGTTCATCAAAGGCGAACTTCAATCTCAATTCAATGACTTCGTTTTCTCATCTGCTAGGATCATCAACTAAAATTCCAATGTTAATTCCTGAATATTATGATCATAGGGCTGATCGTATGCAGGATTATCTGAATGGGCTTGATGAAGAATTGTGGAATTGCATCAGTGGAACAGTTCAACCTCCCTTGAATGTTCAAAACATAGGTTTATGTAGAACTACTTTTGTTGTTGAAGATCAACAAACAAGACTGAAGAACAACGAAAAGCGATGCATGAGAGAGTTGATAGGTGCTTTGCCACCTGTTCTTTACAACTACATTCGTAGTTGTAAAACTGCTAAGGAGATTTAAAATACTCTCAAAGAAAAGTATCAAGGAAGTGAGAAGACTAAAATCAATAATTTTCTTTGGATGAAAAAAATACAGATTTATTTAAGAGATTTTTTTTAAAATTAACATTCTTAAAAAATACTACTGCATATTATCAATAAAAATAATTTTTATCAAAACAATAATCATTCTTACTGCAACATTGTCATATATTTTTCTAAGAGTCATGTAAAAACTAATAAATATGAGAATTCAATACTTATAAAGATATGTGTGTTTTGAAAATGGTCTTCTCATTCTTAAAAAATATTCGTAAAGGATAAAACTAAAACTTTCTTTGTTTTCGGGATTATCCACGTTTGATTAATTTGCAGGTATGCATATTGTGCTTTCACTACTAGAAAAACAGCCTTTTACGACGCTCATTGCGCGTCGTAAAAGGCTCAGACGACGCGCAAATGCGCGTCAAGGAAGGCCATGTCATAAAGAGAGATGACGCGCATTTACGACGCTCATTTACGACGTGCAATTACGACGTGCGTTACGACACGCAATGCGTATCAAGGAAGGCCCTGTCATAAAGGAAGACGACACGCATTCATGTGTCATAACCTTACGACGCGCGTGTTAATGACACGCAATGCGTATCAAGAAAGCCCCTGTCAAGAAAGGCCATGTCATAAATGAAGATGATACACATTTTTGCGTATCATAATTTTAAATGTTTAAAAAAAATATTATTTATATATTTACTAATTTTAAAATTAAATAATACATTAAAAATCTCATAATACAAATTAAAATACCATAAATAACAAAGATAATTCATGTCACTGATATGTCAAATACAAATAATTATTCTAAAAGTGAGTAAATGTTATAAAAAATTGAACTCATTTATATACAATTGCATCATCTAGCTTACTACGTACTAACAACTCTCTGTGTTTACTTTTGCTTGAGTCTCGTTTCCTCCAAAGCTTATAGCCATGCCAAAATATGATATCTTGGATACGAGGGTATGGGACAAGGATGGTTTGGAATTCAGTGATGTGAACATTAATCCCTCCATCAAACCTTGAAGAAGTGGTTAAAGATGAGATGACATGAAAGATTAAACGGTTTAAGTTTCTGTAACTTGGTCTTGCTTCTTTTTTTAATTATTATCATATGTTGCACTTGGGTAGTAGTAGTAACAGTATAATGTATAGATTCCCAATCATGACATATAAAGACTTGGTGGAAAGAAACAATTTTTTTTATATAAATTTGGTTATTACCAATTATGGTGCACCCGTAAAGATTGTAACCCGGGATCATCCCTGATGTCACCTTTTTGACACGTGTCAGACTTAAACGAATATGTGCATTGTCAAACATCCCGTTTCTAATCAGAGTCTTGAATATAGACTCCTTAATCTATCACAATTAAATTCAAAATAAATCAACATTTTAATAAACTAAACTTTACCATGAACAAGATATATGAGATATCTAACCTCATCACGAGTTGGAGCATTGTTCAAAGCTAGAGCTTTTTCCGAGTCAAACATCCTGTTTAAATGCTCTTCAAGTTTAAAAACTTTCCCGTTATAAATTCTAAGTCCTTCCCATACTGAATCGCCACCTTGGACAACTGAGTCAAATACTGAAACCTTTAATGTAAGGTCACAAAAAAAAACAAACAATAAGAATGCATAAAAGTAAAGATTACTATATTTATATAATGGGCATACATACCATTGCATTGTCACGGGGTAAAAGTTCATCACCAACCCAAACAAGAATCTTTTCATTAGTAGCAACAGGGAGAGATGGTGTTGGAATCTTTGGGAATCTTGTGCTTCTTGCATGACTTTTAAGCATGTTATAAAAGGGTTGACTTTGCTCCAAAACATCATAAAGTGATGGTGGAAAAGGTTGAAGAGAAAAGAAAGCAACTTAGTAACCAATCGTTTTCTATTCAATATTTCAATCATACATAAATCATAAAAGTTGGTGTTTTTAGCAGTTACAGAAGCAAGAGTTAATTAAGTAGTACATACAGGGGGATATTTTACTGGTTGTACAAAGCGTGTAGATTTGTGCACACTTTTGTACCATTATGGAGCCCAAATCCCATCAACACTTTTTGGACCAGCTTCCCATCTGGATATACAAAAAGGATAAGTAAATTTCCTTTTTGGTCCTTGTGTATACCTGATTTGTTTTCAATTTTGGTCCTTAGTTGAGGTTTTTGGTCCCTGTTCCAAGTAATATGACATTGATTTAGACTGGAAAAAAATCAGCTTTACTCAGGGACCAAAAACGTTACAAGAACCTCAAATAAGGATGAAAAGAATTTCGGGACCAAAATTGCAAAAATCAGCTATATTGGGGCAGCAAAAATGTAATTTAATCTAAGTAACAGCTAACTGGTAGAAAACATTGACATACATGAGCATTGAATCTTGGAATGGAATGTCAAGATCTTCACAAAGACCTCGTAATGCAGCCAATAAACAACGTAAAACAGTAAACAGTTATTTAAGAAAACATAAAGAAAACAAAAAAAATTGAAAACCTCAAGGTCTTGTTGAAGATGAGCAATATCAAGAATAGGAGGGGGTTTCTCTGATGCAGAGAGTTCACTGTATACAGAAACCAGGTCTACTAACCCTAGTTCATGGAAGGATGAAGGGACAACCTTGTCAAAAGATTGCTAAAAACAAACAACAAATAAAGATAAACCATGATTATTAAAAACACTGTCTAACAAAAACCATTGTAAATTTGTGTCAACTACCAATGAATCAATCAGATTCCGAATTAATATAAAGTGTTTTCCTTTTTTTTTCAAATCATCACTTAATCCAGGCAGTCGTACTTTTGCTATATGCTGTGTAATAAATCAAATAAACGTCATGAGCTTTTAAAGATGGAAAATAAAATTATGCATTTGCAACTTGCAAGCATAAAAAGCTAATCAGTTACCTTACAATAACGATACTTCTTTTTTCCAGGACCATAAATGATGTTTTTCACAACCTTATTTCCATCAGACTCCTAAAAAACAAAAAGAATAATTAGTTTGAGATTAAATGAGGACAAGGATGGTGGAGAATGAACTAACGGAGACATGATAAAGATAATTGGGAAGAAGAAGCCGTCTCTGCCTTAAAATTGCTCTAGAGGCCATTATCATCACATACTAAAACTCCCTGTAACAACCACATCAGATTTCATTAATCATCGTATGATCATTTCCAAGTTACTTGCTGATCCCCGACATCCCGTAAGTTTGTTTATTCTTATTTTGTTATTTATTTTTACATAAAATTGAATTATCAGTAGTAAGTTGTAAATGATTATTCTTCAAAGACCAAACGCGCTATTAAGAAATAAATGATTTGAGTGTAAGAAGAACCTATGAGCCATATCTTGCAGTAGAAGATGCTGACTTTTTTTCATCAAGGAACCTCACAAAGTTCCTAAGAACATAGATAAAAAAAACAAATGAAATTTTATTTCTTTTTCTTGCAATTAACCCTGAAAACTAAAACTCAGAATTGTACCATGATCCTATTCCATCTGCTGCAAAAACCATGGGATTGCAGTCATAGCCCACACCAATTTCAAATTTCTCAGAGACAAAAATAACCTAAAATAAAATGTTGTTTATCAACATTTGAATAAGAAGTACAAAAACAATGTACAATGATAGAGAGGATGCTAACCCACATCACGAAGAGGCAAAGGGGAAGGTCCAATTTGGTCAACAAACTATATCATTGAATTATGACCTGTTTGTTATGCCAACAAAGCCAACAAAAACATGGAAGATAATCTTTTGATAGTGATTATAGATTTAAATTGCCTATGAACACACCCTTATTTCTCCATCACAGAACAATCACCAAACATCATATCCTCGATTTGAATTTTTGCTGCTGATTCTTGTGCTATGGACAAGTAAGATATACCTTAATGGGGAGGGTAAAAGAAAAGCGAGCTTAGATAAAAGCATGTTGATCAGATTTCAGACTGTTTTGAGGAAGAAGAAGAGATGGGGGTTACCATCATATATGCAGAGATTGAAGTCAAAATCATCTTGAGCCATTGAAGCTAAATACGATGGTTGACATGAAAACCTGTAACAGGGCATCCCTGTTTTTAGTTTATCCCTCAGGAACAAATGGAAGTTGAACCTAGAGATGAATTGAGAAAAGAGTGTTGATCATCAATCTGTTTATTATTGTTCTGATAAGTGTTATTGAGGCATGTAAATAGCAAGATATATGCATGTAAATAGTGAGATATGATTATTGCAGACTTACGGATGAGCTGTAAGCTTATTAGAAGCCCTAATAGAAAAAGGGAAAACAACAAACTGAAGAATCTGAAACCTTTCAGCGGCACACTTGGCCCTCAGGTATGCGGTTTCAGCAGTGTCGAATGGCAGAATTCGATGCCACGGGGACAAGTAAGAACCGGTGTTCTTCAACGAAACCGCTACAAAATCTGATTCCGATATGTGATTCTTAATTTCGTTGAGTGAATCTATGAATTTGGACTTGGTGACCTATTTTACAGGCCATTGAGGATGGCGAACGGCGGCGGGTTTTTGGTTGAAGAAAGAGAAGTCGGATGTGTGGGTGCAAAGGAAGCTCCTCCACACCATTGAAATGACGGCATTAACAGTCAGCTGTTATCTTCGTGTTCAAAGGAACATCTGAAGCATCTGAGGATGATACTTTAAAATTTGATACAACAACATAACCTTAGACCTCAGTTAGTTGTTGAATCACTGAGCACAACACCGAGCACAACCCTAAATCTTCGAGGAGTCACAGTCGCCGACGAGGTGAGGTGAGATGAAGTCGCCAAACTATTGTAGAGAGCACTCCTTTACATTTTGAATGGTTCTTGAAAAAAGCTCTAGAATCGTCCCTTCAATTTTGTGTGTGTGTGTGTTTGAGAGAGAGAGAGAGAGAGAGAGAGATAAAGATAGTGATAAGTCTATGCGTGTGTGAGAGTCGGCATATGTTGAATAGGGTTCTTGAAAAAAGAAGTAGAATCGTCCCTTGCCTCTATTTCACATATTTGGATTCTTTATGCAGATCGTTATCATCTTCGTCTCGATGCATTTGATCATAAAATCAAGAGCAATTATGCTATGAAGACGATGGCCTAGGGCTTTTTCTTGCTAATTGGAAGAGGCGGGGGGTTTTAATTTTCGGGATCCAATAGGCGGGTGAGAAACGGAGGGAGATAGAGCGGCATGGTGGTGGCAATGACGCCAATGGATGTAACGGCGAGAAAGGCTACAACGAAGAAGATGAGTTTTAGGTTAGAGAGAGAGAAAGGAACACGAAGACCTAGGCTTCTTTCTTGCTGATTGGAAGGGGGGGTTAATTTTTCACAAAGGCGGGGTTTTACTTTTTGGGGATTTCATTTCCCACTCAAAATGCGTGTTTCATTAAAAAAATATAAAGCGACACACTTACTTGACACACATTTTATAATAGGCATCCTCCGTATTTCTTTTTTTTTTTTTTCTTTTCTAACACTAATTTCAGGGCACACACAAATGCGTGTCTTTTATCCTTCAAATTTTATAATAGATGACATTAATTTTTGGACGCATGCTTTTATGTATCGTAAATCACTGCGTGTCATTGTTTGCGCGTCATTAAAGGTTGTTTTTCTAGTAGTGTTTCTTATTTTGAACGAATATTCAAAAAACTTGATTATGAAAAATTAACATTCTAGTTTATACTCATCGGTCAAAAGCATCTATAGAAGAATAAAAAAGATCAAGTTCATCATTCCTTCTTAACTATATATCTGTCCATCAAGAAACTTGAACTCTAAACCATTTAAGGATAGACATTTTTTCAAACAAATTCTTTACTTAGTATGATATACTTTAGGGCTAGAACAGTGTGAATTAACACTTTGGGTTTTAGCGTACTTATCATATTATTAGCCATGTTTGACACTTTGCTAATACTTCTATTCACACGTAACCCCTCTAAATGGTTCAACTACTAAGAGTGTTTGATTCGTCAAATTTAAGCTTCTTAATTGAATTGGACAACTGGGCATGGGCATCTAAACCATTCAACTAAAAATTATGTTTGAACCATTTTTTGTAACCTTATTACCCAATAACATAAACACCCTTATATTTTTCTTAGAAGTCGTCTTCTAATTCTTTCTTTCTAAACACATAGGCAACCCCAAAAAAATACACAGACAAACACCATCTTCTTTTCTGGCTATCAACAGTGTCGGGGTTCTTATCGCCAAGTGTTTCTTTTTCGGTTGACGCCGCCACCCACTTCTTCCTCCATTTGTAGCATCCCAAAAATCATAATAATTTTTTTTTTTTTTTTTCATTTTTAAAGGAATAAAAGTAGTTTTGATGAACTGGGATTGTTAAAATTTGCTCCTTTATTCAAAATTTATATCTTATTTAAGTTTTGGTATGTAATTTGGTATCAATTTTGTAATTTTTGGATAGTTTGTAAGTAATTAGTTTTATAAGCAGAAAGGTAAAATGATAAAATAAATTTTCATTGACTTGAACAATCTTACCAAACAAAATTAAATTATTCTGACTATTTCAAGCCTCTTAATGGTTAAGCATTTCAGTGATTAAAGTTCTATCAAGCTTCACGAGTCCATGGATGAAGATTATTAAGGGCTACTGGGGGCATTAAAGTTCTACCAAACTTCACGAGTTCGTGGCTGAAGTTTGGCTGAGGCTTATTAAGGGCGAGAAGGGGTTGTTTTATTTGTTTGTTTGTTTGTTTAGTTTTATTTGTTTATTTATTATTATTTTTTTTTAAGTAGTATTTGGGCACTAACTTTTATAAATCTTAGACTTAAAAATATAAAATTTGGGTTGTAACCCTCTTGTATTTTATAAAAACAGT